TACAGGAAGGGTTGGTACCTGCGCTGGGGTCAGGGGTTGGCACGGTGATGATGGGGGCTGCATTGGTGCAGTGCTGGCTGCAAGCCTTGTTGCGAGCGTTAGTGCAGGTAGTGGTGCAAAGTGCAGTGCGGTGCTTTGTGTGAGTGTTACAAATGCTGGTGCAGCGGTCATTGGAAGCCTTGCAAGCATTGGTGCAGGATTCAGCACAGCGCTCAGTGCAAGCATTGGTGCAGGCACTGCTGCAAGGCTTAATGCAGACGTTACTGCAAGATTCAGTGCGAGCAGTATTGCAAGTGTGGAGCTGTGCCCATCAGGTGTGGGCTGACACTGCCACCTCCAGGCGAGCCCAGGCTTTGCCACGGGGGAGGGAGAGCACCCAGGAGCCGGGAGCAGGGCTGGGCACCAGGCCCCAGGGGCGTAATGCTGACCGCTCGTCTTTGTGCCCCTAGATGATGCCGTGTGGTGCAGGACCACACGTGCCGTGCAGGAGGATGAGCCAATGTGCGCCTTCGTGGTGGCTGAGCCAGCTGCCATCCCCAGGCAGGCGGTGAAGGCAGAGCCTGGAGACTCACCCTACCCGGCTGCACTGCACTCTGACATCCAGCTGCTGCCCCAGCAGGCGGGCATGGCTGCCATCCTGGCCACTGCCGTGGTGAACAGTGAGTGCCGGGATAACGCCGGGGGAGGGGTCCCCAAGGGGATGCCCGTCCTCATCTCCATGCTCATCCCATCCCCTGGCATCCATCCGTTCCCTCTGCAGAGGATGTCTTCCCATGCAAGGACTGCGGGATCTGGTACCGGAGCGAGCGCAACCTGCAAGCCCACCTGATGTACTACTGTGCCAGCCGGCAGAGCGCGGGCTCACCTGCTGTGGATGAGAAGCCCAAGGAGACATACCCAAATGAGCGTGTCTGCCCCTTCCCCCAGTGCAAGAAGAGCTGCCCCAGTGCCAGCTCCTTGGAAATCCACATGCGGAGCCACAGCGGTATGGGCATGGCATGACATGGCACAGCCTGGGGACAGCAGGGACCACAAGGGAGCCAGCCAGCCTGCCAGAGGCACAGGGAGGCTGTGGGTTGCTTGCAGCCAGATGAGGGTCTTCCCCAGTTAGATTACCAATCTGGGGCAGCGCTCTGCAAGCTGGTGCTCACCTGCAAAGCCAAAGATGGAGCAGGCGTAGCTGTACTGTCCCCATGCTCCCTGTCCCTCAGCGCTGAGGTGTCCTTCTGTCTGCCTTGCAGGGGAGCGTCCATTTGTCTGTCTGATCTGCCTGTCTGCCTTCACCACCAAAGCCAACTGCGAACGTCACTTGAAGGTGCACACGGACACTCTCAACGGTGAGTTAGCACTGCCTGGTGTGCCCATAGGGGATAGCAGCACCAGGGCATGGGAATGACAGGGAGAGATCCTGCGGTGGGACCCACGCCCATGGGTCAAACCCACTTTGTGTCCTTTGCAGGGGTCTGCCACAGCTGTGGCTTCATCTCCACCACACGGGACATCCTCTACAGCCACTTGGTCACCAACCACATGATCTGCCAGCCGGGCTCTAAGGGAGAGGTGTACTCACCAGGGCCAGCACTGCCAGCTGCCAAACCCCTCACCCCTGGTGCGTATGGGACAGGGTTCACACACCAGCCCCCCTAGTGGCACTTGGCATTGCCCCAGCGAGGGCTGTGTCCCCCCATGGCTCCAGATGTGGGGTGGGATGCCACTGACACCTCTCTCCCCTTGGCAGGGCTGAGCCAGCCGAACAATGCACCTGTGCTGAAGTGCAGCCTGCCCGCCTTCATACCTGAGGGGCTGCCAGCCCTGCCACAGCACGTGGTGCTGCACGGCCCCCTACCCACCGTTCTGCCCGGCCCAGATGCCACCCCACAGCCTGCATCACCCTCGGACACCACCACAGGACCCACATCCTGCGAGGCGCAGAATGGCGAAGCCCCAAGAGAAGGTCAGTCCTCCTCCTCCTCCTCCAGTGAGCCCATCCGCATCAAGGAGGAGCCAGCTGACAGCCCGGCTGGGAGCGAGGTGGAGGAACCCAAAAGCGGGGAGGCCGCTGCTAGCCCCAGCTCAGAGCCAGAGCCCAGCTCCCGGACTTCATCCCCCCGTAGCCTTCCCCCAGGGAAGGTGAAGTCGGAGCTGGCCAGCCCCACGCCGGGCTCCAGCCCTGTACCCAGTGAGCCGGGCTCAGGCACGGCAGGAGGCACCGTCTTCCTGCCGCAGTACCTGTTTGGCCACGAGGCTGCAACGGTGGTCCCGCAGGCATCGGAGATCCTAGCCAAGATGTCAGAGCTGGTGCACAGCCGGCTGAAGCAGGGCCATGGCACGGTGCCACCGGGACTGTTCACCGGAGCGCCGGTGCCGAAAGGTGCGACGTGCTTCGAGTGCGAGATCACCTTCAACAACATCAACAACTACTACGTGCACAAGCGGCTCTACTGCTCCAGCCGCCACCTGGCCGAGGACAGCCCTCCCAGTGCCCGAAAGCTCAAAGTGCCCCCCGCAACCCCCAAGGGTCCTCCCGTCCCTGGGACGCTGCTGTCTGCTCCGTCGGGTGAAGGGCACAGCGCTCCATCGGGGGACGGGGAAGTGGGGCGCGCAGCCACACCGCCCACCCAGCTGGAAGAAGGCAAAGCGGTGTCCCCAGGGACGGAGGTGGCAGCATCAGGGCGGTGCAGCGAGGACAGCCAGAGCCCCGTCAGCTCGGAGGGGGACGAGGACCCCAGCAAGACGCTGTGCGAGGCATGCAACATCCGCTTCAGCCGCCACGAGACCTATGCCGTCCACAAGCGCTTCTACTGCGCCTCGCGCCACGACCCACCACTGCGCCGACCCGGCCTGCCCAAGGTGCCCTTCATCCCGCAGCCCCTCCGCACCCGCAAGCGCCGCAAGCTCTACGAGATCCACGGGGCTGAGCCGCCCCCACAGCCCGACCCTAAAGCCCCTGCGGCCGCCCCTTCGCCTAGCTCCAGCCCCGATGCTGAGGGCCCCATCGATCTGAGCAAGAAGCCGCGGCGGCGCGGCGGAGAGCAGAACGCAGCCACGTTGCTGCCGTTGGCCGACTACCACGAGTGCACGGCGTGCCGCCTCAGCTTTAACAGCCTGGACAGCTATCTGGCCCACAAGAAGTTCTCCTGCCCTTCCACCCCGCTGCAGCCCGGTGCCATGGAGCACCTCCAGAAGATCAAAGGGGCCGTGCCCAAGGGACACCGCGACGGCGAAGGGGACAAAACGGCCCCAACCGGCGCCGCCAAGGCTCTGCCACCCACCTACCCTGCAGTATCCGTGGGGGATTCGCGGTACCCTAAAGGTGCCAAAGGGCCGCTTTCTGTCTGCCCCTACTGCCCTCTTAACGGGGCCATCAAGGGGGACCTCATTGAGCACTTCCGCCACGTCCATGGGCTCTTTGTGGCTGCGCATGGCCTCCCTGACACCCCACGGCCAGGGGGGGGGCAGGACGCCCGAGCCCCCCGCCGCCTCACCCCCGCGCCCACCCGCCCCGCGCCTCCGCCGGGACAGCTTCAACGGCAAGGAGGCTCGCGATGCCCCCCCCAACGGCAGCCCCCGGCCCCCCATCTCCCCCCGGCCCCCTGCTGACAAGCCACCCACTCCACCCTCCTATACAGACCGGGGGGTGCAGACCCCCCCGGCCAAGGCTGCCCCCAGCCCTGTGCCCAACGGCAACCACCGGTACTGTCGCCTGTGCAACATCAAATTCAGCAGCTTGTCCACTTTCATCGCCCACAAGAAGTATTATTGCTCATCCCACGCAGCCGAGCATGTCAAGTAAAGGGCCCCCCCCCGGCTCTGATCGGCAGTTTGGGGTTGGGGGGGCTGTGAGGGAATGGTGTGGCTGGGGGGGACACTGGGGGCCGACGTCCCGGTGATGGATGTGTATTTATAAAGCGATGCGGCACCATCCTCACTGCAGATGTGGGGTTGGGTCTCGATGATGGACCCCGGGGGGGGGGCTTCCGCAGCCCCTCCTCATCTCCAGAGCACCACATCTCTCTGCTCTGGGTGCTGACGTTCACCTCAAGTGGAAGGACCTCAGAGCACGGACCTGAAGCCGTGGTATGGGGAGGGGGGCTGCCCCCCCCAGCTCTGCAAAGCCCCCTCCATCTGCCCTACTGCTCCTCCCTACGTGGTGCTGCAGGGAAACTAGGGCGGGAGGGGCAGACACTACAGGGAAAGGGGAGCACAACCAGGCCCTGGAACAGGAGAGCACTGAAGTTGAGAATGAAGCAACCCTGGGAACTGTGTGTATAAGCGTGTACAGAAAATAAATATGTCTAATTACACTGGGTGCTGCCTCCATGCTGGAGGGAAGGGGGGCTGGGGTGCAGCCCCTGCCCAGGTGGTGGAGCAGGTGTGGGGATGGAGGCTGATGACTAATTGTCTGCTTAATGAAAGGAATGAGCTGCAGGTGGGCTGTGCTGCCCCACACCCAGTCCTGGGCTCTGCTGTGGGGTCCAATGCTGCAGTCTCAAAGCTGTGCTGGGAGCTGGGAGCCCCAGGTGAGTGTGGCTGGGATTTGGGATTCCTGCTGTACTGGGGAGGGCACCTAGGGGCTTAGGGACACCACAGAGAGCTGGGGTTCAGCCAGTATGAACCATTAAACCCTACAGAAAACCATTGCAACAGGAGCTTGTCTGAGTTAATGGGGTCCTCTCCCTACCATAACTCAGCATTTTTGAGCAGGTAAGGTGCAACTCAGGGGGGGTGCACATACAGCACCCATTCCTCACCCAGGTTCTCTCCTCCCTGAAACTCTGCCCCCATTCTGGCACAGGTGGGCACTGATTTGCTCTCCCTTCTCCCACTCCTGCTAGAAACTGGCACCAGGCAGGCAGTGAGTGGTGCCACAGCTCCCCAAGGGCCTCTTGCAGCAGCAGCCCTTGCACCACAGCCTGGCACAGCCCTGTGCCAAATGGGGCAAGCATCTGAACCCCCCCTTCCACCCCAAACCCAGCCAGGGAGGGGAAAGGACACAGAGCAGCATTGCAAGAAGCACAGCTTTACTTAAATAAATATATTTACAAAGCAGCAGGCATCACAGAAAAGAGGAGGCTGCATCCAGCCAGCAACATGCAGGGAGAGCTCTGGGTACTGACCTAGGGAGGGGCTCTGGGACACCCAGGAAAGGACATGCCCCATCTCCTCACTGCAGCATCTTGCTGGGGGGCAGCAGGGGGAGGCTGTGGGGCAGGACGTGGGGCAGCTGCACACAGCTCTCTTCCTTGGGCTCCTCGGTGGCATCCAGCAACTGCTGCATGTAGCAGGAGGTGCCCAGCAGCACGTGCCCCGTGGCCTGCATGCTGAAGAGCATCCAGCGCAGCGCTTCCCTGGGTAGGGGTCAAAAAACAAGAGTGAGCATCGCTCCGTGCACCTGTGTGTGCTGTGGCTGCCCTCCCAGCACTCACTTCATGAGCCTCTTGGCCCCGTAGCAGCGCAGGTCGTAGGACATGCTGTAGGTGCCATAGAGCGTGGCTTTGACGTTGAGGCAGCCCAGGTCCTGGGGATTGGTCTTGTACAGGTCAAAAGTGACACAGGCGACATCGATGCGGCGGGATGGCTTGTGGGACAGGCTCAGCTGGTAGCCAGGTGCCTAAGGCACAGCAGGACCGAGAGTTGCCCAAGGAGCCTCGTGCTTCCTCACCCAGCATCATCCTCATTGACCCCAGTGGGATGAAATGGGCTCCTACAGCCCATGCTCACCTTGCAGGCAGACCACGACTGCCCCTTGCCCAGGGCCATCAGCACTGTGCCCTCCTCCAGCGTGCAGAAGAAAGCTTCTGTTTCCACCACAGTGCCATCCTCATCCAGGACCAGCGTGATGGGGTCAGGGACCAGCAGGGTGCTCCGGACCTGCAATAGGGCTGCGGTGAGGAGATGGCCCATCACATAGATGGGCCCCTGACAGATGGACGGCTCACCTGGTGCAGCAGCTCGGCCAGGTTGTGTGCCATGATGCCTTTGCGCAGGCTGCGGTCGCAGTTGCAGACACGGAAGGGTCGGGGCCGTGGGGCCGGGCTGGAGAGGAGCAGCTGCTGGGTCATGGAGGCACTGGCAGAGACACATCTGGAGGGGATGGGGAGGGTCAGGGGGCTTCCCAGAGCCACCCCCAGCCCTGGGCTTTCACTCAAAGTGCTGAGTGGTGTCAGAGCAGGGGGAGACAGTGACGTCCCCTTCCTAGGGTCACCCCAAAGCTTACTTGGAAACAGGCGCAGCCAGGCGCAGGCTCAAGGACTTGGCATAATCCATGCTGGCACGGAACTGAGCCTGGCAGGGAGAAAGCTTCAGCCCAGGCAATGGCAGTGTTCAGTTCTGCCAACCCCACAGGAGACCCCATCCCTATATCCCAGTGGTACCCGCCCTGCTCAGCAGGGACAGCATCTGCCCTTTGAGCAGGAACAGGCTGGAAGCAACGGGCAGAGTCCTGCTGCCAGCACAGCTCTTGCGTAAAGCAGTGCATGGGCTCTGAGTCAGTGCTAGAGCAAAGGTTAGCAGAGGTGTAGGACTGTGCCC